CGGAAAAAAAACTGTTATGCAAAAAAAAAAAAAACTGAACAACTTTTGCCTCAGGGTCACATCGAAATTCTTTACCAGATTTAAAATAAAAATTAAATTTAAAAATAGTTTTTTTTTTTTTTTGCCCGGGGCCACTCTGGTAGCCTATTATTATTATTACTATTATTATTATTATTTATTATTTATTATTATTATTATTATTATTATTATTATTATTACATTTCATTTTACTATTATTTAATATTTTTTATTTTATTCTATTATTATAATATTATTATTATTGTTATATTTATTGTGAGGGTTTGCCCCTCGGCCTAAGGCCTTGCAGCAGGCGCGTCCTAAGTGAAGGCGGGCCCCTTGATTCTCAATGTGCCCTGAATTCGTCAATGTTTGCAAATCTCGGTGGGCGTCAGACAGTTGCCGCACACCAGTTGGTTACATCTGCTTTGCTCATGAGAGTCGGAAATATGCGCGAGCCTTCCAGGCTCTTCCTGCACCGTGATCGAAGCAGGGAACACAGCAAGTTCGTCCCTGGGTGGTTGGCCATGCCTAACCAATTCGGTCCCAGGCCGCTGTCTGAACGGGCCTGGGCGCAGACACTTTGGCCCAACCTGAAGCTACGAGGGACACGCGAGGCAGGCCAGGCAGCCAACCAGCCAGGCCAGGCAGCCAACCAGCCAGGCCACTTTGCATATAGCAAAGTGCCTGGCCGAGGGGAAGACATTCGGGCACTTGGTAGAGTGGGCGGCAGCGCTGCTGGAGCGAGCACTCGCGTGCTGCTGCTAGCGCCAGTGCAGAAGTGCGTGCGTGCGGTCGTGCGAGAGGCAAGGCGCTGCTGAGGCCAGCGCCATAGCCCAGCCCATGTAGCCGGGCTTGGGCTTCGACATCACGCGGGAGGTGGTGGTGGTCTTCGTGTAAGAGGGAGAAGACGTGGGTGATGGTGGTCTGGGCGCTGAGCGCCAAGTAGGAGGAAGGGCTCTGAAATCTGGATACATATGTTGGTGGTGGGGAGAGTATGCTCTCATTGACATTCGGATTCGGTGCTTTGGTTCTCCGTTGGTAGAATATCAGTACATTTCTGCTTTCTGGACAGCGTTGGACTTGCTGGCTTTCAAGTTTCAACGTGATTTTGCATTCTGGATTTCTGTCATTTCGCTCTCTCTCACATTTTCCTTGCATTATTATCATTATTATTATCATTATTATTACCATTATTATTATCATTATTATTATCATTATCATTACTTATCATATATTATTGACATTCTTTTTATCATTATTCATGTTGTATCACGGTTCGAACCCATGGTCTGTGCGTACCAGCATCCACCAATGGAGTGGAGTCAGTGGACATATATATTCTTTTAACTTTTATAAGATGATTTGGAGGAGTGCTCACACTCTTAATTCTTTTTGTTTTCACGATCTTCCACCCATGCATGCAGGGTGCTGATCTCCATCGGAAACAAAATAAATAAATAAAAAGTTAAAAACACTGAAACACTACTCTGCTGTTCAGAAAACAAAAAAGGTAAAATCCGAAAAAAAAAGTCGGGGGGATGGAACTGACCTGCAGAGCATTCTTGGCTGCAACAGGTGTGTCCCACAAGTTCGTTTGAGCATGCTTCTGGAAGAATCCTCCTTTAATCCAATCCCTCCCACTCGGCACATAGAAGACGAGCCATCCCGAGGCTCTCGCCCAGTGTACGGCAGTTGCGAGTGCCACGCTCTTGCCGCTCCCCACCGGCCCGTCCAGGAGGAAGTTTCGGCCAAATGGTCTTCGCCCAATGTGTGCACCATCAACTGCTGCCACCAAAAAAGACCACCAAGGAATTAAAAAGAACACCCGTCCACAAAGTACCCATCCACAAAGCACCTGCTGGCACTGAGCATCCATCCACAAAGCATCTGATCGCTCCATAAAGAAAGTCATCCCTCCATAAAGAATCTCATCCATCCATAAAGCACCCATCCACAAAGCCTCAGATCTATCCATTAACCACCCATCCACAGAGCACTGGATCCATCCACAAAGTGCCCATGCAAAAAAGCATATGTTGCTTCTCTCTCTCTCTCTCTCTCTCTCTCTCTCTCTCTCTCTCTCTCTCTCTCTCTCTCTCTCTCTCTCTCTC